TTATCAACCAGTCATGGGTGTTTCAGGGCACCTTCTTCCTTGACACACTCTAATTCTACACCCGTACCCTAAAGTTGCTTGTAAAAATACTTAAGACAAATAGATGAATGAATGAATGAATGAATGAAAACTTTATTTATCACATGGCAAAAAGTCAGTCCATAATAATATAATAGACAAAAGAAATATATTAGATATAAGATTTTCTATTTACTGGTTTACATATTTGTCATGTGGGAATGCGATGCACAGAACTATTTATTAAATAATAATTATGTTTCTCTTCTTTCCTTCTCTCGTCTCTGAGCAAAAAACAATTTATTCCCTTTGTTTTAATTCATGAACAGGCATCTCCATGGAAGCTACTTGAGGCCTATAAAATGCCGAAAAATTTTTGGGCCCCCACCTTAAGGCCAGGAATAAAGAACCAAATTTCTTTGGGGGTTCCCCAGGAGAAGCAGATTTTCCTACCAAGTAACTTTTCATTTTCACTTGCCCAAAGGGAAAGGGCCCAGGGAAGTCCTCTGCCAACAAAATAAGAAAATAAGTAAACTAAGACTTCTCCACAGCAACCAAAATTTGGGAGAGTAAACTTAAATTCTAGTTTTTGTCAACTCCTGGGTATTCTTTACACTCATATGCATATGTAGCTTAACATGTATTTTATGTATATGATGTAAGCAAAAGTACTTCATTAACAAAGGAATTTTCTAAGAAGATGATTGCTACATTAATCAAAACTATGACAAAATTCTCGAACGTGATTGGCTATCAGGAGCCTGATTTGAGCATTAATTGGACAGTGTTCACGTCATACTTGTAATTGGATAGTACATTTTGCGCATGCTGTTGCGTTGCACTTTGTCGAGTAAACTGCTGTGTTTTTCGGCATTCATAATGACGTTTAATCATTCAGCACTCAATCGATGGTTTGTTCATTTCTCGAATTTTGTCATAGTTTTGATTAATTGGTAACAGGGCTTCGCATCGTCCAATTCAGTCTGTAATCATACTCGTGATTAACCAATTGGACTCCCGCTTCGCGGTTGTCCGATTTTGTTAATCACTCATATGATTACAGACCAAATTGGACTCCACTCAGTCCTATTACCATTATT